TTTTTTTTTATTAAAAACCAGCATTTATATTCTGTCGCTACCTATTTAGACCATCACGTAGAGCTGTGAAAGATGTAGTCTGCTTCCATGCTGCTGATTTTGAGCGTATCGTGGAGACTTTGCAGCTTGACCTTTATGAACCACCGATGTCACAGGTTAGCCGTTTTCTTTTGTGTCACTCATCTAAAATTTTTTAACTTCCTATTTAATTCACTGTTGTTGCCTAAGTAAGTTACTTTTTTGCATTTATAATGTAGCAGTGGACATGATTCTGGATAATTTTGCTTTTATATAATTAACTCATTTAAGTGTGTTCAATGGGTCGAAGAGGCGAAGTTGAATCAGCTTCGTCGTGAAGGCGTTCGATACTCCAAATTTCATGTAAGTTTTCTTAACCGTGTTTCATTACTGATTGTTCATTCATTTTTTCACTGAAACTGTTTTTTCCTAAGCGCTCTGGTTCCTAATATATCTGTTTACAACCTCAGCAACTTTTTTGTTTGTTTGTTTCTTTCATTAGATGAGGTCTAGGGACGAAGGCTAGCATGATTTGATTAATATTTTGGAGAGTAGTGATTTGTGAATCAAACTATCTAAACCTGATGGCAAAATGCCAATAACACAGAATATGAAAGTTGATTGCAAAATGGGATTAGCATTCCATGACACTTCGATCTTCGACATAAAGACTGCTGAGAATCACATCTTGTATTTGAGATGTACATTTAAACGAATTTTTGTGGAAGTTACTTCCTTTTTTCCAGTTACACCACAACGACATTTATTTTCTTCCGCGAAACATTGTTCATCAGTTTCGTACGATATCTGCTTGTGCATCAATTGCATGGCATGTTCGATTGCAGCAGTACTACATGGAAGAGGAAGCTCCTGAATAGTGTGCTATTTGAATCGAGGTTTTCATTTTAGCTACCTCAGCATTTCTCTTGTATTTCTACAGTATGTCAATTTCTCAAGTCATTTGCTTTTGGATCGAATAGTTTTTCTGAAAAAAAA